GTTCCTACCAAGTCTGTTTACCAAACACAAAATAGCTGTCGGTGACGAAGTTAGCGGTAGCTCTCTGGTCATTTACTATGGAAATAAGCTGTTTTGAAGAGATTCGTTTTTCCTTATACACGATATTCATGAATTCATAACAGCCATATAATTACCAACTAGAACTGCAACCGGAAAGGTTGGGCAGAATATTGATCTCTTCCCATCTGCTAATGGCTGCTGCTCCCTTGCACTGATTGCAGGAAGCCTCCTATTAGGTTTTTACTGCGTTCCTTGAAGGGAGGAAAAAAAAAAAAAGAAAAGGATCATAGGGGCACGTGTGAAAAACAAAGCTTGTCCCACTTAGAGACTGCCAGGCTTTGGCGTTTGGCAGTGCCAGTTAGGCGGCCCGCGTTTGGGGTGGAGCAGCAGGGTGGCTGGGAGGGCAGGGGATGCTCATAGGGCGGTGATGGATGCAATCCCCGAGCAGGAGGGGGCCAGCAGCCCCTCGGAGAGCTAATCCACTTGGCAGCAGTGAGATGGCTCCGTGAACGAGCTAAGGCAGACTGACACAATGGCCTGCGAGGTATTAAAATGTAGGAATTAAAAACTGTTAAACTGCACAGAGGGATTCTTAACCCCAGCCCTTTGGCAACAGAGTGATGGTTCTTCCCTTTTCTTCACTCTCACCCCTTCTTGTAAGCACCATACATGTTTGATTTATTGCTTTCCAGATGCCTCACCGATCAGACATCACTAATTCTGGATGCTAGTTCCTTGCTGTACACAAACGCCGTTAATGACAGCTATAAACTGTCTGAAGGACTGCCTCAAAAATAACCTCGCCTCCTGCTCCTCGCCCAGATCCATTCAATGGCCATCCTGGCTGCATCACACAAAAGCACATCTGGATTCACAGACCTGAACCTCTGCACTTGGGGCTGTGCAGTCTCCCACAGATTTGAATAAGAAAGGTGAGGATCTGTGTTTCTAAATGGACGAGCTAGTGTTCAAAACCATTTTCAACCTGGGCCACTGTTTGCCCTACAGCTTACTGCCCTACAGCTTATGTGGATGTGCTTCCTCTTTTTCTTTCCCTGAAGCATGTGTTCTCCTCGGGCTAAAGCCTGGGAAATGCCAACAACCGGACATCACTGGTGCAGGGCTGCCAGAAGAGGCTTCTCCCCTTGCTGGTGGTTTGGTTGGGTTTTGTGGCTTTTAAACAGCATGACATTTTAAATAATTTTAGTGGAGCATTAATGCTGCTTTTTAATGAACAATGCTTTATAGAACTACTGATATGAAATTAACATGAGTTTACCTCTGAATGCAAGTTGCTGGATTTTTTTTTCTATTTTACTATCCATTACTTCATTAAATCAACGCTGAGAAAGACTAGCCTTGCCAAATTTCTCACTGCACATTCAACTGTTTGCCCATGACAGTATTTGAATGTGCTTATTATTTCTAGTAAAGCCCTTATCATTTTCACTGTGAAATTTAAATCACCCTGATCCAACTCTTCTTAGCTAAAGTCAGCTTTATCAACCACTAGAGATGTGGGATTTTAAAAAGATCTGAGTAAATTCACATTGTTTGGATAAACTCATTCAGGGGGTTCAGCAAATGAAAGCTGAAATAGATATGTATTCCAAGGAGGCTAGGGGCTGCTCAAAACAAAGAGAAGAAAAAAAAGAAAGAAAAAAAGAAGTTAATGGTATCAGTATCTTTTTAATGAGGGCTTTCCCAACCCAGCGTTTGCAATGGTATTTCTGTGCTTCCACAGCAATTCAGGTGAGAAAGTGAAAAATAAAAATAAAACCAAGCTGTTTGCACAAAAGGAATTGTGTTCCCTACCATCTCCTGATATGCTGTCCGGTCGGCGTTGCTCTATCAAAAGCGTTAAGGACCGCATTTATGCATTATCCCACAGTTTAAGTAACTGTGTATCATGTATATTTAAAACCATCTCTCTGTAGTTTTAATTATCTCAGTCTGCAGGGACAAAATGCAGCTCCCATGCCTGAGACCGAAATGAAAGTGCTGCACGCTGACAGCTAAGATGTCTGTCCTAGCTTGTTGAGATTTCCTGTAAAATTTGCATTGAAAAGGCAGCTTTAAATATACTTAAAATAAAAAGAGCATTTGCATCTAATTTGCTACACTTGCAGTATTAAAGTTTTATCTGAATAAAGACATGTCAAATGGATTTATATAGTTAAGCTGATAGCTTTTAAAGTCAACACAGTAACATCAGCTAAATTCAACAAAGTAATGGCAGCAGCTAATGGCATTTATTAGTTTATCATCATTTACTTAAAAACCATAACGCAGATCATTTTATTTTCACATTACTGTTTGTGATTCTTTGACTCAGTTTGCATTGATTCCAAAATTATGGCAGAAACTGACATTTATCTAACAGTTTTCCAAGCTATGAATGTTGGCTTTAGTAGGAAGCAATTGAACTCTCGCCACACAATGGTTTCAGCTATGCTAGAAACAACCATCTTCAAATAAACACATTTGGCAACCATTTTAGAACATGATTGTTGCTTGTCTGAGGATGACAGAAGGGTTTTTGTTACTGATAAGGCTCTTATTACAAACCACTGCCTAAGTAATCTACAGCTTGATCAAAAGAACTGCTAAACACATTCATCCCCAACCTAGCAAAGCACTGATTAGGTTTTGTTTTCAGTATATGCATAATAGCAAGCAAGGCTTTTCACAGCACTTCTCTTCTTCAGAAGGGAAAAGACCCTCCCTCGTCAAAAGGATCACTGCTGTTTACATACAGGGAAACTGAGGCAGAGAGAATTCAGACCATACCCCATGCTGCAGTGGGACTCAAAGCACAATGTTGCAAATCCCAGCTCAGTGGGATTATTTTTTACTTATGTTTTACTGCCACCTTATGCTCCTGTTGATTTCAAAGTGTCATCATCACTTGACCGGACCTCAGTGGAGCTACTTGCCAAAAGCACATGCTTATGATAAACACTGGTGAAGGGGACTAAGAAGAGCAGTCAAGACACTGTAAAGCCCATGGGAAAATGCAAGGCTTATGAAAAATACTCTCAACTCTGCTACAGTGCCCTGTTTCTCCATCTGTTTAATAGTAATTACTCAGTACTAAAAGCTTACCAGGAAATACTAAGCAACGTTTTATTGCCACCATAAAAACTAGGCACCCACACAGTTTGATTTGTAAATATTTTGGGTGCGGACATCTACATGTCATCACTCAGTTTTATAACCGCACTTGAAAATGACATCAGAAGTTTCCAATCATGAGATTTACTCTCCTTCTCAGTGATATCTATGTCTGTTCCTCAGTTGAAATAAAAACACAACTGAGGCTGGAGATAGGATTGATTTTCAGAGCTATGCATGGAGGTCAAAATTCTTGCTAATGGGAGGCCCATGTCTAATTCCCCATGACATATCCTAAACCCTTAATTCCAAAGAGATCACCAGCTTCTTTTTTTTTTTTTATAGTAAGGCCATATTCCCAAGAAAAAAGTGACAATCAAGTCACATTTGGCAAGAATTTGAGATGATCATGCTTTCTTCATGCCATTTATTACGATTCTCCATTCCAATAGGCTTTGTTGCAGTGTGTCCTCACCCTGAACTCTGGCTTCTATTTCTGTACACATCTGTAATTCCCTGGCCCTGGGCTGGAGAGCACAAACCTCTGGCTCACCAGAACAGCCTGATACAGCTGGGGCAATGGATCCTGAGGCACAGCCATCCTTCTTGAATCGCCATCTCACAGCTGGCCAGCTTTCTTTTGGGCAATGAGGAGCGAGATGGAACTAAACATTGCATTACCTTCCTCTGGAGCCCCAGATTGACCTCATTAAATTCAATAGCAATTCTGTTCTTACTTTAACAGCAGCTGAATTGAGCATTTATAAGGTTTTATTTTATTGAATATTACTAATGAAGAGTATCACAAAAAGCTGAGTAAAAATGTTCTTTTGCTTCCTGTGTAAACTGTCTTCCTTTGGCTCAAGGAGCATAGCTGCAACATACTAAAAATGCATACCAAATCTTATGGCTATTTCACTCATGCCAAACAAAATGACAATCCCAGAAGCTTCCACTGTGCCAGAGAGACCAGATGTTTCCTCCTCAGGGCTGGAGGGGAGATTGAGCCTCTAGCAAGACTCGTCCCAAGGAGAATATTGTAGTAAAAGTCACCTGAAACAAAAGCCTAGATCCAGGTAGCTACAGTACTGTGAACTGCATCAACATGTAAGAGCTAGGACAGCCGAAGGGAGGAGGGTTATATTCAAAGTCTGACGCAGAAAAAGAAACCTCTTGATTTTCATCCAAATGCAAATAGAAAACCAACGCAGCTGCTGAGGAACTGGTTCCTGCCAGCTCCACCTGAGAAACAGGGCATTTTGCTCAGCAGTATTCAGCGCTTCCATGTGGCTTTGAGGTACAGCCCCTAAGCAGTTCAGTTTGACCTGAAAACCTGAGGGCATGTGAGAATTTTCCCATCCCTGATCACAGACGGGCTGGAGGAGCTGCTCTGAGCTCCAATCCCTCTATGGCAACATGAAGTGCAGCAACTTCACCAGGTTCACATCCTTTTAGCTGCATCTCGCTGTGTTATGGCGAGCTTGCCTTTTATTTCATTCTTATTATACTTCAGACAGCTCATTCATAACTTGTGCTAGCAGTAGTCATCCTCCACTTTCATTCTAACCCCCAGAGGCCGTTCCTACTCCACATGGGTATGAAATAGCGTCACCCCAGCTGGTGTCTGTTCACCAGCAGGCATGATAATGTCAACAGGGCCACAAATTCAACTGATGCAAATTATCCCAAATTAGTTTACTTTAGTGGAGCTCTTGGTGTTTTGTGATTGCGTGCAGAGCAAAAATCCACCATTTCAAGCTTCATTATGAAACAAGCCCATTAGCAGAAAGCATGGAAAGTCTCAGATTTTCCCTTCAGTGATCCTGACGATCATGTGCACCAAGAAAGTAGTGGAGAATCTGTTGTAAAAATCACCAAATACATTTAATAGCTAAAAGCTAGGCATTCTTTAACAATTCAAAAAACAAAACCAAAAAACCCTACTCATCAACCAGGAAGGAGAAGAACTGGTTTGTCATTATACCATCACTGAGAGACAGAAGGCAACAGAAACACAAAGTTCTCAGGCCTGGAGACAGCATAGGCTAGGGAAAAGGAAAAAAACAGCAAATGGGCAAGTACAGCCATGTTACAATACATTACATATAAGTATGGAAAAATACACTTATTGACTGTTGCAGTCTACTCTTTGCTCACCCTTGGCAACCCTGTTAGTCACTACACATCACCTTCCAACAGTGGGAAACACTTGTAATGGGGACTCACTTTTCAGTACCTGCAATGACAGCTGGAGAGAGCTTATATGAGTAGAGCCTGCCACGGGCTCTTTCTGCTCCCTGATCATGTGCAGTAGGTGCACAGAACACCATAATTCCAAACACCAAAGGCAAACTGCTGCTGCCTGAATCAATTGCAAAGGCTTTAACTCTGCACTCACAGAAAATGTTCTTCAAATCATCCTTAATCTTTTTTTTTTTTTTCAGCCTCTGCCTATGCATCACCCCAGTCTGCTCCAGTACACGCGCGTTTCCCAATAACCACACTTGGCTTAAGCTTGAAAAAAGACCTTTAACACTGCCTGACCTCAGCACAAGAAGCAGAATCCCATTTCCTCTCAAAACAGTTACGGAGATGGAAGATGCTACAACTTTACCCACTATATCAGCACACGCTCATCAGTACTGTTACGAAACCTGGAGAAGGGCCCATGTAATGAGAATAATGCATGACAGGAGGACATAAACTAATCAAGGCAGCTGCAGTTGTGACAGCATTTCTACAAGAAGGTCATATTACCTCGTTAGATGTGAAGATTGTCGCAGAACAAAAGCATCTTCTTTCACAGGAGCTGGAAGTCCTCTACAAATTACTTGTAACTTTCTGAAAAGAAACCAACAGAAATATTGTGAATACATTCCTTCTATGGCAAAGAAATTAACTCAGTACATAGAACTGTATTTCACTGAAGATTTTAACAAAATGAGTTCTTGGAAAGCTTCTCTTGAAGGACACTGGCAAATTCTGTAGCCTTTATAACAATCAGTTCACTGGGTGATAGTTAGGTGAGTTTTTTATTGGGCTAAGTTCCATTACACTCCCAAAGTGAGTTACCAGAAGTGATTACACTTGTGCTTGCCTATTAAAAAAAAAAATCTTAGTATCTCTATTTCCAAAAACAGTACCCACCCTGGATCCTCCCCTCACAGAAATCTTGAAGCTGGGGTAAACAGCTCTTCTTCTTTCCTTTCTAGCCTATTAATGACAAGCTTGCCCTCTTTTAACAGTCAAACTTTTGCCAACAACAAAACCTTTGTGAGATTTAAAGGAATGAATATGCAAACTACACAACCTCCAAGCTGCTAAAAAGGAAGAATAACAATAGAATGATAATTAAAGCATTACCATTCACTTTGTGGACTGATTGCATGCTCCCCTCTCCCTTCAGAGCCTGCCTTTCATTTAGAGTTGAGGGAGCAACAGAAATCTCTTGGCCTGGGCTGCTCATCACTAAGGCCTACAACTTATATACGTTCTGTCCATGGCTCTTGGGCTCCCATGTATACGTTTACTGAAGAATGATTACTGCATTACATTTTTGAATACCAAAGATTCAGGTCTTGATAAAATGTTTTATTTGCTTATCACCAAGCAATGGCCAAGTATAAAAGGAAAAAAAAGAGGAAAAAACCTATCTTCAGTGATCTGCTAATCAGTCTTCCCTACTACAGTCTATTCTATTGTCTACATTTGAGATAATGAATATTAAAATTGCACAATTCATCCCACAGGGTGTTATTCAAATTATACAGAGCACAACTGCATCCCTTTTCTTTGCTGTTGAAATTCTGCCTTCTTTAGGATGGAAACACAGGAAATATGGATGAGCAGAACATAAAGCTGTACAGCAAAAGAGGAGAAACAAGCAACAAAATAGCAGGGCAAACCCTTAATCCTTCAGAAAAATGAAAAAGCTGTAGGAGCTCTGCAGCCTAACTTGTTATCATCAGCCACTGTGCTCCAAATCAAACATGTCTGCCTGCAAAGCACAGCTAGTCAACTGCAGGCAACACAGCAAGTTGCAAAAACAGCGCGCAGGTTCCTGAAGTTTTCACACATATTTTAATATTTGTGCAAGGCAGAAAGAGGTATTTCATACCCAGATGAAGAGGACAAGCACATGCTTGCATGCTCAGACCCAAAAGGCAATCCTTCCTCTACAGTATGCAACCCTGGAGAGGCCAAAGGCACAGTCAGCCTAGTTGGGTAGCCAGCCTGTCTGGGAATTTGGTGTTTGGATACTAGAATTGTCTGCTCTCTGAAAGGCAGGGTGTGACCACGGGTTTCACTGTACTTAATTTTTAAAATAAAATTTCTCTAGAATGGCAAAAAAATTCACACAGACAGCAAGTTTGTACAGAACTTTTGAAAGTGATCCAGTTCCTAGAAATTAGTGGCAAAACTGCTAAAGGGTTTGGTGAGAGAAGGAGCAGGCAAAGAAGGTGGGTACACCTGCACCCCACGGCTGCAACCCAGCTCAGCACCCCTTCCTTCTCATCCAGAACAGCTCCATACAGGGCAAAATCCATCGTTTGAAAGAAGTGGGAAAATACAGCACATTGTGTTAAGTTCCCTCCTTTTCAAAGATATACTGTACAGGTCATAACTTATCCTTTTTAATAAAAAAGAAATAAATTTACCTTTTGAGTGTCATTTCTGACCACTGCTGCCTGTTTGCTAAAGCCACAGGGCTTCACAGCAGACAGCCTGATGGAATTCCAGTTCACAGCTTAATTTTCCTCCTGATAAAAGAGACAAAAAGTTCCTTTCAGTAAAAATAAAATTTAATACGGTCCGCAAATTTGATATATTACAACCTCTGACCTCAGCTTAATTGTTCACAAAGGGCTAACGGTACCGCTGGCAAGTAAATGACTTCTACAGAGTGTTGCAACCCTGATAGCTCAAGAGAAGGGGAGCAGCCGCCTGACAGATAATCAAAATTTCTAATGTGAACCATAGTGAGAGAGGTTATTCAGAGCACACCCAGAACGCAGGAGCCGTCCACAGCTGCCACTGTAGCTCCTTAAGATGAGAAATGCTCAACCATCATCCTCACTCAACTTCGTTGAGCAATGGCCTGGGATTTACGGAGACACTGCTAGAATTCCTTGGAGGTTAAGTCTGCCCCCAGTTCTATGGCTCTGAAGAACTTTTCTTAGAGCTTGACAAGGAACCAAGGGAAAAACAAAGAAAAGGTCCTCTGTGGGCTGCAGCATTTCAGGATAACCCTACTCCTGTGGGCTGCAGTTCCTGCACAGAACATCCTCCTCCTCCTCCTCCTTCTTCTCCTCCTCTTCCAGCACAGGTCCTCCCTGGGCTGCAGAAGGGACAGTTGCTCTTGCATGGTCCTGTCCAAAAAGCTCCTTAAGTTCTTGTTGTATTGGGAGCATACAAAGAAAACTACTTGAAGCTCAGAGAGAGTGATCAGTAAGTTAGTTTAGCTCACTGTCTTTATTTGATTGCACAAAAACAGGAAAATTGCCTGGCTGTCCCAGCTGCTGGTTTAGTAGCTAAAGGAAAGCTGGTTCAGGGGTGTATGCAGGTGCACTCGTCTGAGGCAAACTCAAACCAGTACCACTCTTGTCCCTCTAGGACATCCAGAAGCAATTGACAACAAAATATTTACTCCCTGTCAGTCTGGATAGGAATTTGGAGCCAGAGAGTATCACAAAAAGAGCTGTATTAAAAATACAGCAGCAATAAGCGTGCATGTCTGTGGAGCACCTGAAGCACTGAACTGTGCACACATTTACACCCCAGCAGGCACAGGTCATTAACACATGTAGTTACACAGAATGTACTGAACACAGTTTCCTCCTTCCCCTCCTGATTCAGCACAGGCTCAGTGACAACAAATATCTCCCATCAAGCACCTGCAGCCCCCAAATCACGGGTAGGCAAACTTACAGCTGCATTTGTGCTGCTGCAGCCTTCCTGGGATAAACTGCTGCGGCTGCCACACGCACAGGGCAGCACCACCATCCCAACACACTAAGTGTTATGCAGCACCAACCAGCTCCTTGTTTGGCTTCCTGATGACAAGTAGAAGAGATGTGAAACTACTCCTGTCCCAGCACTGGGGAAAGACAGCTGGGCTACCTGCATCTGCTGACCAATGAGAAAGAACACCGCAGGATGAAAGTATCTGCAGATCACCAGTTTCTTCCTAAATTAGTGATGCTGAAGTATCCAGCAGCCAATATTTCTATTGGTTGTCTCAGTAGCACCGGAAAGCAACTACCAAAGCCTTCAGAAGTTCATATTTCAATTTTAAATCTGAGGCTATTTTAGCTAATGTCCCCAAGGCAACCGTCTGGTCAAATGTCAGAGTTTATGCTGCTGAATGAAATCCCTCTGTTTATGAGATCTCTGTAGTTTGGGAAGCAAGTTAGACTCCAACTTGAGCTTCTAAGATTATACTGGGCTGTGGATATCTTATTTTTTCTCTACTCTGCTTGGAACGTATCTGAATCTTCCCATATTCCTACAAATTATTGAAAGTCTCTTCATGTTTGAATATCAGTTGGATTGCCGAGGGATTTTCCCCCACTAATTCATTTATTAAAAAGAAAAAAAAAAAAAAAAAAGAAGAATCTTTCCACTAAGGCTGTTTTTCTGTACGCTTTCAAGTCTAGGATCTTATAAATTCATCATTTTGGCTTTTGTTTTGTTTGTTTTTAAGCAAAACATTGCCTGATCTCTTAAGACTAATGCCAAGTTTCATTTCAGCTTTTTGATCCCAAGGATTCCCCCCCACTTCCTGTTCATCCCTCTGAGCTCCATAGGTCCTTGTGTTTTGTTGTTGTTACATTTTCCCCCATCACTGCATTACTTGTACCCCAGCCTGGTTCCTTTCTTTTGGTACAAGCACTGTGAGCGTACCTGTTGCTGCAGACTTCTCTGACAACTAGTTTACATTTGAGCAATGCATTATGCTGTGCTGACTGCACACTAGTGACCACTGCATTTGGAGCTTTACACATCAATTTGCATGCCCTGAAGGCATTTTTTTGATGGGCAAAGTTTAAAAAGAGCTTTTTCAACCATCACACCAGGGCACTCAGTCCTCTGCCACAACTGAGTCATTAAACCTTTATGCCATTCTTCCTAGCAGTGAGCTCATACTCATGTTTATTCTAGTTTGGGGTGCCTGTATTCCTGAGCATCCAGGTCACATCACCCACAGGGTAGTACCAGATGTCATGTACCATTAATTCCACATGCAAAAGCTTGTTATTTTGAAGAGCTCAAGGCAGATACAAAAAACAGTAGAAATGTGGTTGGTTTTTTTTTTTCCAAGTCTGGTCTTGATAGAAGACTTCTACTTGACCAAAGGGGTTGGACTGCTGTACTACATGGAAAAACAGCGCTTACATTTATGCCTGTCACCATTATCAATGTGCCTGTTGCAGAGGACTTTCCTGCCAAAGCATTTAACGTGCTCTGTGCTTTATTTTGTCAATGTATAAAGGCCATGCTAGAGCAGGCTGTATTGAACGCTGCCTTTTAGAAGAGTGAATTTAAATTACACACTTGCCTAATTAAAAGGTGCCTCTTTAAACGCAGAAAAGAGAGCATCCACCTTTCTGCTTTCACAAAAGGCAGAATTTAAGACTCCCTCCTCACCTCCACGTTTCCACTGCCCTCTGGCAGTGCTGCATGGCTGTGGTGGCACCCTCATCGCACACCCTTGAGAGCCCCCACCACTCCGCTGGCAACTGCAGCACATGCCTGAAAGAAGACAAAGCAAAAGGAGTAGTTTAGTTGCAAGAAAGAGAGCAGTAAGGCTCACACTGTTATCTCTCCTCTAGTGAAGGTTTTACTTTTTTAGCTTTGTTCTTCTCCTATGTGCTACATTCTCTCCATCCTTGAGAAAGCAATAGGTACCAGATGCTGACAAGATAACACAGAGCTAAGCCTAGAAGTTATATTTTCAAATCTTTCACAAAATAAGCACCTGTACTTTCTCCACTTATGTCTGAGCTCCTCCGTTACCTTCTAGTATCTTTTTTTTCAATTACTGGCTGATACCCAAGTAGGTGAAAGCATTTCAGTCCCATCCCATCTCTAGGTTCAAAGAAAGAAAAAAAAAAAAAAGAAGAAAGAAACAGTGTAAGGTTGATCACACACTTGTTAATAAGTCAAAGCCGGATTCAAGTGTTTGTGTGAGGTAGAATTATCTCATTCTTTTTGTCTGTGTCTTTCTGTGATCTACCAGTCAAGTATGTGATTGGATTTCAGCTCAACAAAACCTTAAATTACACACCTATTGTGCCTGAGCTAAGCCTAGTTTCACAGCACTGGAGAAGGCTCCTCACTGCTCTTCTGGCACTGTTCGATCTGGCTTCTGCTATCATCCGCAGGTTGATGAATGAGTAATAGGATTAGAAAGTCTCATCTCCGCAATGCTGTAATTGTCACATTTGGTGAATTGACAAAGGGCTCGGGTGATGGAGAGCTGCCCCGTAACGAGAAGTCACACGTTCAACCTGCACTCTCCAGCCAACGTGAAGGGAATGGGAGGGATAAAAAGAATCCCTCCAGCTCTCCATTTGCTCAACGTGCACAGGTACCACGTGCTCTAAATTAACCTTTCATGCGTGGAAGGCAGAGCACTCTGCCTCTTAAAGGACCTTGTCTCAGCACAAGATGATATACTTGCTGATTGTTTGGCTGGGGCAGGAGGTTAGAAAGTCTAGGAGGACCGGGAGCAGATTTTCCCATTCTCTCCTGGAATCTTTAATTCAGAAGACCTGAGCAGAGATGTCTCCAGGCCAGCAGAAGAGCTCCTGGCAATGCAGTGCACCGCAGCTGAGATCCCAGCTGGCCATGGAGGATGGGTGGACACAGGCGACCACAGTGCTCTCTGCGGGCCCACCACTAATAGCTATGGTGTGTTACAGCACAGCTGAAGTTCTCAAAGGCTCCCATATCAAGTCCCATTCCAGAAGAGCAAGTTTACAGGCCCCAGTAAGAAGCACTGGGACCTGCCTGCTTAAATAGCTATGCATACACTGCACTGAAAGGCCTGGCAGCAGAGACCCAGCAGAACAGACAGCTAAAACCTGCCAACTGCCTGTTTCTTTTATTTACTTTTTTGTTTTAATTTCCACTGCCTACAAGCACTGGCAACACCCCTGTTTCCAAAGAGAAGAATGGAAATTAAAAAAGTGCATTTGGGCAGTTCTGTGTTGTGAAGCACTGCCTTCTCCTGAGAAATGGCTTCATGCCGTGCATACAGATCAACAGGGAACTTTATTCCTGCCCACCTTTCACTACAAAAGGCTATCAAAAGCCAGCATCGCTCCTGCTAAAGGAACGTGTCCCCAAACGCTCTACAGATGTAGCATGTGAGGTCAACATTCACCATCCCCTTTCTCTGTCAGTGTGAGTTTCATTTTAATTACAAGAGCATGTTTTGCACATTGTAAAATTACCCCTGGCTCTGACCACCATAAGAAAAGGAACATTTAGCTCAGGAAACAGTAGCTGACCCTGTCTGCTCTCTTTCTTCCTTGGCATCAGCTTGGACTATTAACACCTTATGTGTGTTGCCTGTGCGTCCCACATATGTGCGCTCTACATCCATTTCATGCAGTACCTGCCCTAAGTGCATACTAAAAGCTTCCTACTGGGAATTCTCTGCTTTGACTCCTCTTCTTGGCATCTCGCTTAGTTATTGAACTCATCTGCTTGACAGAGAAACCTTTCTGCGTGCTAGAAGCTTTGTCCTTGGGAAGCTGTGACATTAGACTTAAACACATAGAGGCCTTTTTCACCTCGCAGTTAACTCCTTAATTATTCATTCCCAACAGAGGAAATCAGGAGAAACCTTGGCAGCCAATGTAAACATTTTGTGGTGGAAGGCAATTCTTTTCCTTCCTGAGAGCACAGTATGACCATGATAGTTCCTCTTCTAAAAATCAATGGATTTTGCACAATTTTTTTTGTTTGTTTTTTTTCCACAGGGAGGGAGAGAGGCACAGACTGTTGCAGAGCAAAAAGCCCCATTTGACAGTGACTATTTTGCTCCAAGAGTCACTTGCCAACTGAAAGCAAAGATCCAGTCCTTGGAAGCACATTTCACCTAAAATGTTCCCTTTGTCCCACACCAGAACAGAGCAGCCACCCTGAGAGCGCTCAGCAGCACCAGATGAGAGCACCCAGTGGCTGCTTTGCAGATCTTCCCCCTCGTGTGGCAGCAGCTCCAAAGCTCTGCATCAGGCCCCGTCTCACTGCCAGAGCACTTTTCCCATTTCCCATACAGGATCTGAAGCAGCCGCCTTTTGGAGTGCTCAGTTCTTAACGGCAATAGATGCCCTGTGCAAATAATTTGCAGAACCAGCACTACAGACAACATTTTGGCAGTCTCGCTGTAACCTTAACTGAAACACACAACGTTGGCCTGCTCCCAGGAGCCATCAGTGGGAAGCACACACAGCAATGGGCCACCCACTTACTGTTTTCTTAGAGAAAGTTTGCCAACAGTGATATGCAGCTTGCACCACCTTCCTGAAACATTTCCACACTCGCACAGGGCTGCCCTCAGCAACACCTCTGCTTTCAACCTGCCCTGCTCCACCTCCTGCTCCTGCCACGCAGCCCGATCTCCTCCTCACGTTGCTTCCTCTTTCTTCATCACCTTTTCTTGGCTTTGTGCCTTGTTTCTTGCTGTTCCTAATGCCTGGGACAACCTCTGATTAATGTTCAGCAAACAGCCTCCTCCACAGATCAGACTGCACCCAAGCGTGCTCTGTTTTCTCCTGTTCAGCACTATCCCTACTGATGCCCTTACATCCTCCCCGAGCAAGGGCCCCAACCTCGAGCTGACTGAGCAGCACCATCAGTTCCTTTGAGGGGACTGGGCTGCTCGCTGTGCCGTCCCACTGCAGCTTTCTGTGAGCAGCCAGAGGGGCAACTCATGGATGCAATCCAGTCAGCAATACCATCCACAAAGTGAGAATCTTTCTAGAGCATGTAGCTATTCCCTAGCTCTGTTCAAACATGGGCTAGCAAGGGGGTAGGGATGGCCCCACACCACCTCTCTCTGTTCCCACCTGCTTTAGATTAAGGCCTGAAAGCAGAAACAAAAGAGATCAAGATGTGATGCTGCGCATGGCCAAATGGAGGTGGTCACCAGGACAGCCTAGTTGGATGTAAGTTGCTATATCTGCACTGCAGTCTTTGGAAAAATCCACCTCTAGGACTCAGTCATTGGTAAGGCAACATTACAACAGGGAACTGTAAGAAAATTTTAGTCTGATTACTAACAAATACATTTTTAGCTCTTTTAGGCTACTTCATATATTCAATCTCTCTCTGGCTAAGAAAGGCTTTGCTCTTTGAGAAAAGATTAGCTAAAATGGAAAGCGGTTGGGTGACTTCTCACTATATTAAATTCAGCCTTTTCAGGACCAGCAAGGTTCCCAGCGTTACGCTGTTTTTGTATTAAAATCTAATTCTGAAAGTTTGACAAAGCGCACATTTAACACAGGTCAGCAGTATATTGACAGGATGTTAATTTTAAATTGTGTCAGCATTTCCTGTCTTGAGTGTTAATGTCAATTAGCACCTTGCTGCATAACCTCCAAGTCCCCCCTTATTACAGGAAAGTAGCAAAGCAGGCAGCAAAAGCACTTCTATTCAAAACACCACTCACTATCAGCCAAACAAAGAGCTGTCATAACAAAACCTGTGAGGTGAAAGTGCCTAAGCTGCTATGGATTTGAGGTTAGAAGCCTTAGTCTTTTTCCTTATTCTTGATATTAAAAGTGTAAGCGTGTCAACTTGGAGCAAAAGGCTAATTACTTCGAGGCTCTTTGAAAAGTGCGTTACCATTCAGAATCTCTAAGCCTGACATAAAGCCCTTGGCTTTAGATTGCACAGCGTGTAGCTCACTGTAGGTCACCCATGAGTATCCTTAACGCACTGAAATACGCAGTCCTGTTCCTGGAAACGTGAGCACTCCTGCACGCCTGCTTTTTTCAGCACTTCACATGTGCTGTGCAAAACAGACATCTTACAGCCTGCATCAGCGAGACCCGGCTCTCTCTCTGGCTAATTCACACCCCTTTTCCAAAAGCACTCTATGAGGGCTTCATGACAAACTTCATCCATTCTCATGCTGCACCATGGTCTGACCACAGCTCACAGTGTGTGTACGTGAAGGTCCAGTTGCACACAGACCTGGGCTGGGTACCTTTTCTTGCTCCTCTCTGTTACACCCACCAGCGTAGATGCCCAGGCTGAATTCTGGCTTTCCTTAGGTCAAACAAAAGCTGTGCCATGAATTCGCTCTGTCTTGCACAGAATACAAATGTGCTCCCAGAATGACAGCACAAGTCTCAGGACATATAGCCTAAATTCTGAAGAAAGCTGGCTGGTATTGCACTCTTTTGTGAGAATGGAATTTTAATGGAAGAGAGAAAATGTTGCAGTCTTTCTAACCAGCTCTTATTCCAGGCCTTGAGGACTGTTCAGCCAAAATATTAAGATAGGGATTTTCATCAGTAACTCACTGTAAAGCCCAGTGCTGGATGTCTGAGAGCAGAGCTCCCACCAAAGACCATGGGTGCTCAAATTCTGAACAATGGTTCAAACACGAGCTCTCTCCCAGTGCTGGGAATCAGTTCCAAGTGTAAATGCCCAACAAGGAGCTTTTGGAGGGCAACTCATCTCCTACCTTTGTTTCTTTTGAGCATGGACTTGGAGGTGTGGCCAGGCACCGTGTGGTAAACCTTGAGATCTGGTGCAGAGATGAGACAGGCATTATGCACAGACATCGAGCCCAGTGCTTACACTCTGCCAGATTCTAAACAAATTGGCCAAACAAATTAATGCCACACACCCTAAATTGGCTGAACAAATTAATGCAACACGCCCTTTGCACAAGGGTGCCTTTGAAGGCCAAGGACCGTGCATGTTGCAGCGAGATGTGTTCTCCTGAATAGGCTGTTCCAAACAAATCTGTTCTGAGAGAACAGAAACAGCATATTATAGTTTCAAGTTAGAGCAGGGCTTTCGCTCGAGAGCTTTTCAGACACCAATACTGTGTGTTGACATTTAATTACTAAACTCTTAAAACAAATTTGTATGAGCAAATGCTCCTCAATCATTTCATAATAACACAACCAGTGTTTCTTGGCAGTTAGAACAAAACCAGAAACATGTTGAAATCGCACACACAATGCCTTGTTCTGACACGGGAAGAGGTGCCAGACTGAGCAGTGTGAACCCTCCAGGCTGTGGGAGCTGACGGGATTCAGGAACTGAGTACTGCAGCTCTGCTCCCAGGGGCTGGCAGAAAATCAGCCCCAGCAGGTTCACTGGGAGGTTGCAGTTTACCAAATTTCATTCTCCAAACAACTCTCCCTCCTCCAGCGAAAGGTCCTATCATCCGCTGAGGCCCAAAGCTCACAGTGGAAGATTACAGAGGGCGCTTTCATGAGGCTGTTGCTGAGACGCAGCAGCCTGGCAGGGCAGCAGGGATTGCCTTCGGTTGCTGTGTGAGCGTGGTGTACCTACATCAGTGGAGTATTTCCTTCCACTTTCAGCGTGATCCACTTCAGAGTTTTGCACATCTCTGCTACTGAGCTGTAGGGTTGAACGCCAGTTCCAGCCAACGTGTAAAACTCACAGCTTACCTTTCTCACTCCCCTCTGGTACAAGATCTGTGTCACTGCAGCAGAACACTGCACCCTGGAGCAGGTCTTCAAGTCCTTCTCGTTCTCATGGTATCTATTATGTCCTCATCCTCTTTTCACATTCTTCAGGACAGTGTCTATGACTTAATTTTCTTAATTTTGGTTCTTAATAAAGAACGAAAAATCTCCATGCAATATATTCCATCTGCTTAGCTCTCCTTTCCGTGGGACTTTTGTGAAAATTAATGTTAGAAGGACGTTAAAGAAACGAGTCCATTTCTGATGAGACAAACTATCACTGTAATTGCTTTGCAAGTACAAATTTCAACTTTGGTTTGCTGTGTTTCTCCAGGACCAGTCCTCATGGACATCTTACTCACAGTTTGCCAGCTAGAAGGCCCCTTTCCCCTGAATTTAATGTGAAATAATTGTGGAATTGCGACACCAGGATCCACTGGAGCTGCTCCTTCTTGCACTTCCATTCACCTACTCAGGGTACCTTGATTCTTCTCTTCGCTCACTGTTGCACTCTGATCTCCTTACAACTTTCTTTCCCTTCACGCAACCTAACTACCCCCCATGCATCTTCTTTCATGTGCCCATGCCTACTGATGACCCACTTCATTACTGCAGCACATCCCTCCTTCCTGTTTCTACAGATGTGTTCCATCTCTCCTAAGTAAAGCCAGGGATCTGAAGTGGACACACGAGTGAAAATCCATCTACACAGCCAGCTGCTAGAAGCACATCAGTTTCAGTGCTGCAGGACCAGAAGCGAGTCTGATACACAAGATCTCTTTTTGAAGATTCAAGTGGAAAGTGCTATTTTGGGGAGAAACTTGAGCTGAAATGTCCTCCTGGCCACTCAGGCTTTAAAAACAGTCCAAGCTTACATCTCAAACTCACTGCCTTCAGAAATGCTAAGATTGTCCCAGCACATTGCCCTCCTCTCTAATTAGGAGCCACCTATTGTGTTCCATTTTTCTCTCTGAAAATTGCCACAGCAACCTTGCTATCAGCTCAGTATCTTACCATTAGCAACGAGGGCAAGTATGTGGTGTCCTTGACTTGTCAGCTAGAAATGCCTGGCCCCCATTCTCTCTGGGGAGCGAGCCTATAAGCTCTGTAATGCATTTAACCTCTATCACCTCAGAGAGTAAGAGTCTCCACAAGCAGTTTGCTGCTGCCCCACCCCGAGCTAACTCATTTACCTTATTTTTTCTTACAGTGTTCAATAAATCACGCTCCACCCTCTAAAAATTATTATGGTTAACGTATGACTTGCTAAAGAGATGCAATACACATAACTAAGTTATAGCTTTAATCTCATAACACAGAACATTAATAAATGTTGCAAGGCTCTGAATTAATAGCCTGACTTGTATTTACGTATTTAGACATGCTTGTATTTGTATACTTCTCTTACCATTAATTACAACATATAGACCAGATTTTAATCTCCATGTCAAAGGGAAAAAAAACCACCCAAAAAACATAACTGCCATTGCAAAGCATCAAAAGAAATGCAGCACTTTGTTAAAATTACTAATTCCTATTGGAAAACAATGAGCAGCTGGTTTTCTACAAGCAAGAATTTGATTTGAGTTCGTTTAGCTTTCATTTCAATAGCCTGATTTTTAAAGACAACTGTGTTCTTTCTCTAGTCCTGAAAGTGCTATTAAATTTGATGAAGGCCATATCCCTTGGTTAGATAGTTGGTTCAATAACGATCCAGCTGCCCAAACACAAATGCTTAAAGTAAGACCAATTGTTTGAACACAGGCTGAAGATGTGCAAGACCAGCGCTGGGCAAATACTTGGAAATTCCTCATAACATTCATTCCCATTGTTTCATTTGTTTGCTTTACCAGATATTCAAAGAACAAACCAGGAATCTTCACCCTAGCACGACAAGTGAGGAGGACCACAGAGAACACATTTCAAATTTGGCAACCCAAAAACACTCAGCAGAAAATGGCATTATTCTGGACAGACAATTTCTACACACAAACCAAGAAAACATGAAGTGTCATGAGACTTACCTTAATTGAGTTAAGCCTGAGAGAAACGAGGGTTGCTGCCATTTGGAAACCACAAGTTTGAAAATGAATGCGTCTAAAAGAAAAACAAAGCACAAGATTAAAAAGCCAGCCCAATAATCTTGAAGTTCTCTGAATTATTCACAGCATCAAATAATTTTCATAATTACCACAGGGAATGTAAAAGCCTTGACAATGGAAGCTATGGTCCTGCCACAATCCAGGACTGTGGTACATTCTTATTAAACCTGACCTGGAGTCCAAGAAACTGCGTGCTGGTGGCAGCACCCATAGCATGGACCCCTTTGCTGCATCAAACCTACGTTTCAAACATTTGGTGCCAACTTTTCACTACTGCGGAGTTTTCCCACACATTTCTCAGAAGCATCACCAGGTGGGGAGCTGACTTGGGCCATGGCAAGGAAGAAAATATTCTGCTGGTCTTCCCAAGGGAAGGTATAATTTTTAGGGGGAAAAAAAAAAGTAACATTTCACATTTTTACTGCATCTTCCTGGATTTTGTCAGTTTAACTTCATTAAAGCTGCAAACCTCTTGGTCAGGTGAGCTTGCTTGAGAACCCCAATTAACATGTAGGCAAAGGAGGTCTCCGTTAGGGCTCACAGAAGTGTACAAAAGCCTCAAGCATGCTCCAGGGTCAGAAAACACACAAAAGCATATCTAATCTATAATCTTTGGGAAATTTATAACCAAATTCTTGATTTTTTTGTGCATACAGAGGAAGAGTGATGATCCTAGCTTTTGCATGTCATCACCAGCAATACTGACTGTGAATTTTTAATGAAACTGTGCTATTTATTAAATCAGCTTCAACCAATTTACACAACATTGCATATTAACCACTGGTTGACTTGGAAGTGCCAGTAAATGAATAAACTAGATTTTAAAGGAAAATGTAATGACGTGCTCTGACAACATCACTGATAGTTCAAGGATAATGACCTGCATCAGATCCTACTTCAAAGCATCCGGCCCAAGGAGGAAAGGTTTAGTGGCTGAAATTCATCCTGTTCCATCAGATACATTAGTCCATAGCATAGAATTCTTCTAAAACCTCTCTGGGTGTTGATGACCTGTCGTTGGGTAATACCCACATACATCTCAAGTAACCATGTCCATACTCATAACCATCTATAGAGCTCTCCTTGGAGCACCCTCTGACCACATGTCTGCTGTCTTGAAGCAGATCACAACAATATGGGGATGGGGAAGCTGAGAATGACAATTTCCTGAAACAAATGAGACAAGCAGTACAGGCCAAATCACCACAGGACCTTAATCACAAAAATCATCGTATAACATGGCTTAACAGAGCAGGTTGCTACCAAACCCACATAGTCCTTAAGACTTCAGGAAAGACTGATGCACAAAGATAGGTGGAAATGGAGCTTCTAGGCCTCTATTGAAAAGAATGTCAAGGCAAGAAAGATAACTTGCGAGTTAAAGCTTTTCCTTCCTCCCAAACTGGCAGGTTCCGTCATATAAATCCCTAAAACAACAGCAGGACTATTAAGAATGACATCCTTTTTGAGAATCAGAAATAAGGCACTGGCATTTTCCATTTCAACGTCCCTATTGAGGAAAGAAAATATCCTATGCACCTCCACTTTCTAAAAAAGAAAAAAAAAAAAAAAAAGACTTCTTCCAATGCTGAAGTGGCCAATAAATGAACTCTATGTTCCCAATCTTTTTTTCAACTGCCACGATTCAGAAGAAGGTGAATTGCTATTGAGCCAGTTTACAAGACTAGACAGAAAGGATTCTCTGCTTAATACGGAAATGCCTAATGACTGATTATAAGGCAAACAGCATTAATGAGCAGGTCATTTGTCTCTAAATGAAGGGATCATAACCCAGAGGGTTTTATTTGAACCAGCCTTTGCTCTTTAAGAGGTTTTCATTTCAGGTGAGAATTGGTACTAAAATTACAAACTAAAGATCACAGAACACATTGGGAGTATATTTGCAAGCCAATCAACTACTGAAAGGAAGAACCTTTGTGCACTGTATCCATGGCTTCTGGAAGGCTCAGGGCACCCCAAATAATTTACATAGCGTGTCTGGGAACATTCCTTGCACACCCTGGACAAAGGGAAGCTGAAGCTTAGACGATGGAGTCCTATAGTCAGGGCTGAGGGTGGAGAATGGCAAACCTGCCAATTAAAAGCTATACAGAAGATGACACTTGAGGGAAAGAGAGGTCTGCATGGAATGTGACCACAGTGACGGCCAATGTGCAGTGGAAACAAAGAGCTAACAGACTTTTGCTTTGCAAACAAAATACATTTACAAGTCAATTTGTAGTTGTTGGACTTACTTCAGTTATTGAGCATATTTAATTTCAAATGGTGAAAAATGCATCTCCCACGTCTACTGATAGATAGGGTTTGCCCCAGATGAAATTCTGCTGTTAACAGTCTCTGTAGGTCAGAACAAAACCTGCAACTTGAACCATCCTGTATATTTAGCAAATTTAAATGAGCCCTGGATGCTATGAAACTCCTGTAGGCAGGTAAAGCATTTATCAAGTGGTGGTTCTTGTTCAGATCTTACCCTCTTCAATTCCTCCTCTCCGTTAATGCTGAACTGTTTGTCCACCAGCTGCACTGATAATTTAGGCCTAAATAATTGGGTATATTGAGCAAATAAGATAACAACCCAACATTAAGCTCACAGAGCTCTTCAAGGGTTTCATCTTTACCCTGCTAGTAAATGCCAGTGGAAAGTAGAGGAAAACACAGTATTTCCGTGTGGCATGCTACTCATGCAAACTCTTTCCTGCCAGCCCTGTTCAGTCTGCATAGTATAAGCCACAACTGCTTAATTATCACGTGTTCTGCCAAAGGTGCAGTCAAGGGTGTTTATAAGGAAATGGAGATGGTAAGCCAAATTTCATTTGCAGATCAGACACACCTGCTAGCAAACAAAGCCAAGGTTTTAGGTACCGATGAGATCAGTAGTTCTGTCCTCCAGGGAAGGCGGCTGCACCTCAAAAATTAATGAGTAATTTTTCAAATTGATGTTGTAAGTCAAACTAGTTATTTTCACAATTAAGTGCTTTACCAAGCTTTTAGGAAACAGCAGCTTCTCATTGGACAACCAGTTCTGAGGTCCAACTGGTGAAGATACAATGCAAACCCAAGGTTACATAAAATCTTCTTAGCCACTCCATGAATACCATTGGGAAGTAAAGTAAGGATACATCTTTGCAGTGCAGGGAGAGGACATTCCATGCTACAAGGGCACTGCAGTCCAGACTGGGTAGTTTCCCGGACCACAGTGATTATTCTGCTTGCTTCTACAAAGCCAATCTTTACATTACAAATCTTACTAATAATTATTAGTTATTTTCTCCCTAAGCCCTGCAGTGGTATACTATAATAATCAATACTTCCCTGCTACACTGATGGAGGAAAAGAATGAGGCAACACACAAGATTGACATTGAAATCAACCACTGCAAATACAAACTAGGCCACCTATCTCCTGGCCAGTCTCCTTGCCCCCAAGGGCCCATCCTTGCCAACCTTTCCTAAGCCAAACTCACCCAGAGCCCACTGCCAGGCCAGCTATGGATTACTTGCAATGCACTGCACATGCCAGCACAGATGCCAAGGAAAACGCAACATTTCTTTTGGCAGTTGAAGACAGGGAGTTGATGAACTGAACTCACTGTGTGAGTTTGGGTAAGGTCTTCTTTCTTGCCTAGGTTTACTACCGTATATCAGCTCTTACATACAGGCTGATCCTGTAGTCCTAACGCTAAGCTTAAGGCCAAGGAGAACTGCAAAAGATGTACTTTATACAAAACAGATGCAATGTTCTGCTGCATCTCCTGCAACCAGAGAAGTGTGTATCCATACTGGAAACCAGCTGAAGCAGAACTATTCCTTCACCAGACTAAATACTAACTTTGTTGTTACTGTTTCCTGTGCTGTTTAGAACAGGAAAGCTTCTGTTGTGTTTTGCTTGGATTTTCTTCTGCCTTTTGTTCATCCATACAGCAAAGAAAACACAAAGTTTAAGCTGATTTATATTTTTATAGAGCAGACCCAAAGTTTCATGTTAAAAAGAAAACAAAAAACACTGAAAACACTGAAAACAAATACAGCCCTGGCAGACAGAAATGAAGGGCCAGCTATCCCTGTTATGCTGAAGACATTCACTTTTATTACATTACATATGATACAAGTCCTAGCTGTCAAAATCCTCAGGAGCACCTAAACAGATAATAAACAATCAGTGAAAGACTTATGGCTACATGTTTTTCATAGTATTGGAAATCACCTGGGAACCATATTTTAATGGAAAATACAGCTTGATGGAGACAAGCTTCAAAGATTTATGAAGAAACTGCAGCACAAATCAAGTGGAGGGTTTAGCTTTCCAAAATGATATGGAAGCGCTAGAAAATAGTACCAAAAGGGAAAAAAAAAGAAGAAAGGACGAAGAAGGACAAGCAAAGAGGGAAGAAAGAAGTGCCCTTCTAATGATTTATGCTGCAGAGAAGGAATATGCCTACTTGTGATCCTGTTACCCTTACTGCTCCTTGTGATTGTTATTCTTCCTCTAAGAGAAGCGGTCATGTTACTTACTGACAGAAAGTTACACCTCTTCAATGTGATTTGTCCACTTAAAAGAACATTTATCATGTTGCCAGTTTATAAATCATTTAGGCCAACGAGATTAAGGCTATAGGAAGCCAGCACCCCTAACTGATTCTCATGCCAGATAATTCACAGACCCGCATTTGTTTACACTAAACCTTATCAGCCAAAACAGCAGAGCCTGATGCCAGCTAAATGCCGGTTCTATGGTCTGCAGGAGAGCCCAGGACAAGGTGCAGTGCTAGCACAGAGCCCTGCCCTGACTGCAGCCGTGCCTGCACCCTGCCAGCCTCCAACCCTAGGATGAGCAGCTCTTCCTCCACACGTTAGAGGATCAGGGCCTCTCCACAGCAATGGGACAGAAACCAAAGAGATTCCATCTCCACCCACATATTGTAAATACCTTGTACAGGAGAAAGGGAAAAATGTATTTTCATTGGTAAAAAAAACA